TAGTTTACATTAAAAAAACTTCAACTGATGCAATTAACCCTATCTAGTTGTTTAATATAATAAATAATTGAAGTATAGTTGTGTAAATCCTGATGAACTCCTACATTACAGTTTTGGACAAGTACAAAAAGACACCATCGCGTTTCTACAATGTAGGACTTTGGAAGATACAGAATAGGAAGCACTTCCCAGACTCTTCCAATACAAGAAAAATAAGCTGTTTATAACCTATACCCCGCCTTTAGGGAGACTTATCGGCCCAAGACACTCTTGAAGACCCCCTGTTGATTATTAAGTAACAAGGCCTCTTTTCTAGAGATAAAAGCCTCAGGCTATACTACTTTCACTGGAGCATTCTCAAACTACATTTCACATTGGAGCAAAAATCTCATCGCTATGTGATTAAATACTTGGTATCGCCGCAAAGAAAATTGATACACAACGTACTCTTATGAAATTGTTACAAAACACATAATTCATTCTGGAAATCCCATTTTGCATTCACATTCAAAATATCCCAACACACATACCGCCATTTATGACTGTGACAAACCCCTAAGGCCAAAACCTTAAAACCCAAACCTGCAGCAATGCACCAGCTGTAGAAGTCAAATTCTCACCATTAAGTGTCTCAGCATACGGTTTTATGATACAGATAAAACTATCTAATGACTAGCGGTCACTGATAGGGGTAAGTCTGCTCCTAGCAATGATGTCTCTCCAATTCCTTAGTAATCTAATTCAGGGAGCTAGGCAGGTAGAAAACTGCTTCTACACACAACTCCTTAATGAACTCAGAATAGGACCGGGTAAGCATCAGCATAGCTGCAAAGGGATCATGAGGAATGTATGGCTGAGGATGGGAAGGAGAGAGTGAAAAAGCCCTTTTTTAGTGACAATTAGTCACTAGACAGGCAAATAGCTGTGGTACTAGTCGAATTACATGAAACCTACACGGAAGTCCATTTTCCACTGCAGCTAACTGCTGTCAGTAGGTAGTTAGATAAATCGGCAGAAAACTTATAACTTAATAGACTGAGAAAGCTCAGTGAAGAGTTCGCTGTTCTCTAAAGAGAATAAATGCAAGTGAAGACAGAACTGCATCAGCCAAAAAATCAAGCTGGTTAGGATATGGAACCACAAGCTGGACATACTCGGAAAGTTCTCCAGAAAGCCTTGAAAGCCCCATCTTGACATATTTATTAAACAAGGTTAAAAGAAAGTCCACAAGGCTGGAACAGAAAAATAGCACGATGCTTCTCTCAGACCCGTTAATATCATATGCAGATAACCAAATATTATAATAATCTATCCATAGCCTTTCTCCTTTAGCTAAATAGCTATCATCTGCTGACTTTGTTTTGTGTTTTTAGATTCCTTATATTCTTTTTAAGACGTTATTTCCCATTTCCGGTGCTCAGATTCCTTATGCCTTTTATTTTGATCAAAACTAGCATAATTTAAAACCTCATCTTGAGCAACGTTGCACACCCACAGCTTAAGCAGATTTAAATCAGACCTGCTATGGTAACTTTCCTTCCCTTCCCCATCCCACTAGATGTCTGTCCCCACAACTTTTTGCAGACAGGCACTTGTGTGCAATCACATGATCAATCGGGTCCTGATGCAGGCAAAAATTAATACTACAAGAACTGACCCATTTTCAGCTAAGCAGCTTCTTGATACAGCTTACTATGTGGCAGCACAAGCATCAGTGCCAGCATAGGAAAGAGGTAAAAATAGGTATCTGGAGATAAGGACGTAGGATTGCATTGCTCTCACCTATTACTATAGAATCACTCTTATATAGCACATTCTAAAGCATAAGAGGCCTCAGCTATGGTTTTAAGCTTTAGTTTCATTACACCTAAACTGATCTAAATGCTGGCTGCCAAAGCTCTGTCCTTCCTGTACCCAACTGCTACTATATTCCTGCCCTCTCTTACAGCAGCTCTGGCAGTCTCCCAAGCCATTTCAGCACAGTAAGCTAGTAGAAAACTATTCACATTTTATGGTTCAGTTAGTTTCCTGCCAGCTTAGCTATGGAAGGAAGTGGATAAAACTGCAGCATCCAGCAGTTTGACCAGCTTACGCTGCTTTGAAATCACCGCCTTACTTAACCAGTTGAAAAGGCTACATTGACACCCTTATTGCAGATCTAACAACGCACATTTCAGCTTAGCTTAAAGTGAGTTGGAACTGATTTATAAAATATCAAGCTGCTTATACCAAAACCAGAATGCTCGTAAAGAGGTCTGAATCAGGTTAATTGCTTATAAAGCACTTTAACTGATTTTGGTACATCTTTTTTCAGATGTGACCTCACATACCTTTTTCTGCCTTATATACTGTATAACGATTGTTTCAAAATTCTGTTTCTAACTTTTGCATTGCAGGAGTACCGTACTGAACTAACAGAGAAACTTGTCTCAATTCAATTTACAGAACGCCAGAGATTCATTTTCGCTGGCCTATAATATGGCCAACTCTTCTATTAAGCACATGACATTTCTGAACAACTATCATTCCCTTTCATTTTATATGAAAAACTACACATTCAATGAGTATAAATTTCTACCACAAATTCATAAATTAGGAATACAACTTTAAAAAAAGATGGCTTATAGGTAAGTCTCAAAATTCCTTTACAGTGTACACCACTTCTTCACTGACAAAATACATACCTGAAAGTGGCTGGGTCGGTTTGTTGTTGTTTTTGCCCCAAAGGTGGTGCTAATACAGGTTTTTCCCCAACATACATCTCAAATTTAACAAACCAATTACAACAAATCAGTAGCTAGTTAAACAAACATCAATTTCATTATTATCATTCCATTCATTCTACTTCTGTTAAGTTTAATCTTTACTATGGTGATATTTGTCCGACAAAGACCTAAACTAACTAGCACTAAATCTAAACTAGCACTGTGGTGATCCTGCCTTTCTCTTCCAAACCACTCCCCTTTCGGTTGCTACCAGGGCTTGCCTATGAGCTGGCTCAGGTAGCTGTACTGACAGTATAAAAACGTGAGCCGTTTTCTAACAAACTAACTCTCCAAGGGATCAGATGAGCACCAGAACCAAACCAAAAGAAGCAGCAAGATCACATGGCTTAGAGTAAGGGTGGGAAGATGAAAGAATGACCCTTTCAGTGACAATGAGGTATTAAATCAGCTCAGAGCCTTGGGAAACGTCATCCTAACTTTATAAAAAAAAAAAAGCAAAAAGTCTCCTGTGGGCTTAATTCATTGAAACAGTTCACCTTGAGGTCACATCAGCACTAGAACTGATGTAAGGGGATTGCAACCTGTTTGTATGGACCACAAATCTGCTTCTGAGCAGAGTAAAACAACTGTGCTAAAATGTAGCCACCTATATAAATAGGTATCAGATTCATAAATGATTTTTAGATACAGAATATCGCAGTGGGACATAAGTGATAAGTTAGCTCACTTGATACATGTGAAATTCTTATTAGTACTTACATGTGGGCCAAAGCCTTTCTAAGGTGAACTGATGGTGAGATTTCATGAGTAGCTAAATGGACCGAATGATCTCCTTTGTTCTCTTTCATCGGGTTCTGGTACTCACCAAACTCTTTCATGAATAAACTGGTCACTAAAGCAGCCAAAGAATGTTTCAGTTTTTAAGTTGGTTAGAAAGTTCAAGTGGCTGGGATCTGACAAGCATCACAGAGGAAGTGGTGGGAGTACAAAGCTGGGAGCAGGGAGGACCACAAATCCCCCCTTTCAGCAGCAATCATTAAAGCAACAAAAAAGTAGTTAATTTTCTGCTGGCTTAGTAAATTGAAACATGGAGACAAGTAAACATCCAAAGCAGCAGAGGGATGGAGACTGACATACAAGACCTGGAACAGAGGAGGGAGAAAAGGACAAGGAGAAGGGGGGCCACAAGGAGCAAGTCCATCTCTTTTGATCATCTAACTATGTCATCTAACCGTACCATGAGAGCAGGAACAAGCAAATTGCTGTCCATCAGCACAGACAAGGACCTAAATTTAATTTTATAACCATGCTGTCTACCCAGACTCCTTAATTTAAAACAGTGGAATACAGATGACCTGTGCCATGCTTTCAAGAAAATTAAATCTGCACAGTCAGAGTTAACAAGACTATGACCCCTGTAGTAGAAATTTGAAGAATAGGTGGGCCTGTGCCAGAATTTAAATAGAATGGTATTAATCCTTGCCATGGTTTTACAGAAATGGCTTTTCAGGTAAACTGAGCCACAAAGTCAAGTACAATAGGGTATGGAAAGACAGTTGGTTGCCAACTACAATGAGTGGGGGTAGACACTATTAAGCACAAGTATTCTGGTTGAATGGCATTTCTGTTCCCCCACTCTAAAAGACAGTGGGATTATTTACATTGATCTAAGCAGCTATATATTAGGCTTTCTTTGTTCTGAGAGATAACAGCATTTGCCTATAGTAATTAATTCATATGAGAAACCCCAGAAACCAGAGGGATGGAGATTCTCAGGCCCCTACAATTCCAACAACTTTAGTTCATGTCAGGATAACAGGGTGCACCGTGAAAGTCCTTCAAATAGGAACTGCTCACTGGACCATTTCAGCAAAAAAAGAAACGTTAAGGTTCTTGTTTGTTCTTAGGGTAATTAGGATTAGTTACTACAGGAAATGCTACCTTGTTACCTTCCCCTACACTGCAAATTCAGAAGTACTTCAAAGGAAAACAGCATCAGTGAGATGATATAAGAGGCTGACATTTTTTTCAGAGACGTAACCAAAGTCTGTTATGCATAAACCAGAAATAACAAGTGCAGTGGGAAGGGGAGAGGATTGCAAAATATAATAAAAACTAAGCTACAATTAAAAAAAAAAAGTAAGCTGTAATATTGTTTTCTATTAACTAGATCAGTAGTCTTTACGAAAAATACAAGCCTAGTCCAGGTTAACCTCATAGCAGGATACAGAATTTGTGCTGTAGAATGTAGGTGACATATTCCTTCTCACTCACCTTTGGATCGAGTAGAGATATCCATCCCCTCCACCACCTCCTGCTCTGCCTTTATTTCCTCTTCAGCCAAGCTGCCAGAGGGAAACAAATGAATTAGAAGAGTGTTAGACTGTATTATTATTTGGACTGTATGTCCAAATTCACGTACAGAAGTTGAAACACTGTCAAACACAACTATGTTAAGATTTCTGATGAAAGCAAAGGTCTCTTAATTGTCAAGAGTTTATACTGAACATGCACGCTGCATGCTACCTGTTACAAAGGTAACATTTTCATAATATTGAACAGGCACTGAACTTTAAGACAAACAGAACTTCTGTTCCTCATAGCTCATAATCTAAGGCCTCCATAAGCTGTGTGGACCAATTCCAGATGACGTTCAAATGCTCACCAGCATCAGTGAGCAAATTAGCAAAAGGAACAATTTATCAATGCAGAACAACTTGCAAAATTAGAACCTAACGTGCAATTTCAAAAACTATTAAACAGATAATGTTAAGGATTTTGAAACTACACTGTAAAACAGAAAAACAAGTATTTATAGTTTATTGGTAGTGCAGCTACACCAATTATTATCTATAACAAAGAATAAACAAATTAGAGCTATCACTCAACCATCCAATTTTATATAGCCAGTTTTATTGTACTCCAGATAGGATTAAGTACCAATTAGACAGCACACTGTATGTGACTTTCTGATAGTCTACCTTCTGCCAGTGATTCCATTCAAGAAAATAACCCTCCGCATTTTGCTAGTTCAATAACTCTGGGGAAGGAAGGTAGAAGGGAAAGGAAAAAGAACTAGAGTAAGTACTGAGTTAATAGTTTTGGAGGTTTGACTATTACAGACGAAAGACAACGTGTGGTTGAAGCAAGCCCAAATTCAAAATGATAGACAAATGCAGTTATGGAGCCTGAAGCAGCAGGCATCCTGAAGCTGTCCACTAACACAACAAGAGCAAAACGGTCAAACAGGAAACAGACCTTTTCCTCAGAAGCGACAATTTACTGTCTAGTTTGTTAATGTTAAGTTGTCATTGATATCATTTACATTAATATGGTAGACTGTGAACTATTGCTGCTACGGAGCAGATAGAGATCCCATTCAGCCATCTCAGCTATAGGGACAGCTATTTCTAGCATAGGGGCAAAGAGAACAGCTAGAGACCTCTGCTTTAGCCACTGTGGTTAAATCTGCCTGAGATAGTTAATCAAGGCTTTGAAACAACACTGAGGACTTGGTTATGCTTAAAACACAAAAACTCTCCAGGTGGACAAACAGTTTAAATTAGCGAGATTGCATAAGTTAAAACAGTTCCCTAAACAAAGTAAAACTTACCAGCAGAAAGACATTTTTGACTGGTATTTGTCAAAACTACTTTTAATCAATTATCAGCTACCGGGGGGCTGGATTGCAGCTGCTTTCACATTTCTAAATAGGACAGCTATGCCAGCAAAATGTTTAAACATAAGTGAACCAAGCTCAGTGCATGGAAGACCCAAAGCTGAGAAGGCCCATCAACTCCGGAAAACATTATTCTATACTTGCCATTCATATGTATCAATACTTTACAAATGAAGCTGTTTAAAGCCATAAAACAACGAAGAAAAATTCTAGTCTACCAGTATCCAGTCTCCCAGCTTGTGGGTCACTCAGTTTATTGCAGGAACAAGAAAAGGCACTCACGTGACCAGAATTCTGGTAAATGCATCGCACAGTTGACCATACTACAATGCTTCTCAGATTTATTTTGCATGAGCAGACCAAATGCATAGCATAGTTGGCCATACAACAATGCTCCCCGATTACAATGCATGGGCAGATCAATTATACTTGCACATTTGTTACACCCTTTCCCAGAGGGCCTCCAGCAAAGAGAAGCTGGCAGTGTATTGCAGGCACCAAAACGTTTCATGCACCACTTGCCTCTGCCTGTTCTCTTTCCAAGGGTTCCTAAGCAATGGAAAGGGATGGGCTTACAGGATAGGCTGATTGTTCTCTTCCCATGGTGCCTTGTTTCCTCCCCACCTCGCTTTAAAACCCGATTTCAATATTACCACCGAACTGTAAAAAAAACTATTAAAACAATCAACTTTTATATATGTAACAATATATACTAATTCTGTCAACAATGAAGTAAGCTAGCTGTATGCATTAGCTGCTTTTAAAATATAGATCCAGGTTCACCACAGATTACAACATAAGTCACTACAAGACTGTTTGAAGTCTCAGGATCATTTTACACAGGTTGCTTCTCAAAGGGATGGACTCCCCAACCCCTGACTTAATGTTCCAAAAAAATCAAACGTTAATTTTAACTGAGGAAGTTCTGTGATTAGCTCACTGGGCTGCTGCATGAGCAGTAGCGCCATGCAGAAAGGAGGAAATGGGAGTGCACCACATATGCAAACGGGGAGAGAGAAGAAAGAGGAATACCCTTTTGGCAGCAGCTCACATTTAAGTTTCATTTAAGCCATCATGACATTCCAGACTCCATTCGAACGTATCAGATGATATTTTGTTCAGATCACCAAACCACAGTGGAAGGTGATACAGCAAGAGAAAAGAAGGATACAGTAGTTGCTACAAATCAGTATTATGAGGCACAGAGCTGTGCAAGAATTCTGGCTGAGAAATGGGTACAGCAGATCAATACAGCAACATAGTAGCAGAAACTCTGCTACTTCTTACATCCTTGACCGAAGTAGCAGGGGATGTTACATAGCTGACTGAAGATGCTTTGCACCTGAGGTCCAAATCTAGCACAGAAAGGGTATTACAGGTCAGGACTCCTACACGTTAGTTACAGTATGTAAGAAGGTGTCTTCCGCTCTAAATCTGTCTCTCCCCATCTAAGTTAGGAAATTCAGTCAGCTCCTTCATCACCTTCTAAAGTGTTCTTTCAATATATCAATAGAGACAACAAAAACTTCATAAACAGTTCCAAGATTAACAAAATATCTGGACTTGACCCTTCTCTGCTGTATCATATAAAAGTCAGACAGATGTGATGTCTGAAGATAGCTTCTCCAAAGAGGTTAAGTTTAAAAGAACAATCGAAAATGCATTCACACATTCACCACTAGACACAAAAGTTCTTCATTTTTGTTAGCAATGATGGTACATACATCCTATATAAATATATGCACGCTCTGCTTCACCCATAACTAAAACAAAAATCAACAAATACCTGCTATATCATGAAAATTAAGACTTCGAGAACAGATTGCATCTGTATTTTCTCTGCTACAAGTCATCTCACTCAATTGTTTAAGGGCACAAACATTTAAGTATGTACAAAAACGACTGAGATTTGTCTGAAAAATTCAAAATGCTGAGAGGAGGAGGAGTTAAATAAATGTATTAAACACTTAGAGAAGACATTCAAAACTCACGCTGACCTTCAGAAGCATCTCCCAGTGTTTTATGTGCTGTAATGTATTACGACTTGACCAACATGACATTGTCTGAATGGGGCCAGTGATGGCTATAGTGGTAATCTTAAAGACTGAAGTTTGTAAATAAATACCAGCAATTCACAGCAAGTTTACACTAACTTTTCTAAAGCTGAAAGATCTTTTTACCTTTGCACCTTCCACCAATATGAGCAATATTCTGAAAACGCTTTAAACAGCACAAACTTCTGAACCCAGAAATGTCATTATCAAAAGATTTCAAGTGAAATAATTCAAGAAGAAGAGGTCCTTAATGATAGCTTACTATTACCCGCAATAAAATAAAAAGAAAATTTAAAAGAGCATCAAAATAACTGCAAACATCTGGTTCCATGGAAAGAGTAGTTGTTTGATCAAGTAGACCATTCTATAGAGCTGCATTTGAAACAGATTTCATTTTTGCAGGATTGAGAGCTGTTACTTCAGATAGGATGCATTACTATTATGCGTGTGTATTATGAATGGGATGCCCTGAGGATGCGGATCAGAAATGATCCTGGTATATACTCAATTAAGTACCTAGCTGAGCTTATATCACTCTGAGAGCTACTCTTATTTCCTTATTAAAATTAATGAACACAGATGAACATATGGTAAGAAAATAATTGATATTTAAGCTTTGCCAGTTTCACTGTCAATTGACTAGAACACACATTAATCATTTAAAACTTCCCATACTCATACTGACAAGACTTAGTAAAAAAGAAAAAAAAGAATTTTTTTTTCTTAATGTTAAAACTAACTTGTTTCACACAAATTATTTTAACATGACTGAATGAGGGGGGATGGGTGCAGATTATTCTTTTAAGGGATAATTGCAGAGAAAAAGAAAAAAAAGGATTGCAAATATACAGGACTTCCTGATCCTTATTTAAAAAAAATGCAAAAGGAACTTATCTGCATGATATTTAGAAGATGTTCTCTATTAAACTAAAAAGAGCTTTTTTCTTTTTTTTTTTTTAAATGAAATTCAGTTTTTCAAATTTCAGACCAATAAATAAAATACTGACTTTTCTATTTAGGAAAATCATTCCTGCAGTAGTAGTACTTACCTGAAAAAATGTACACATACAAAAATTTTTAAAACTGCTCTAATCCATATCAACTACGAAGAGCAATTAAAAGTTGCAGATGAACTACTGCACCTTGACATTTAACCAAGAAAAACTGACAGATATGGAAAACCACTCAAAACAGCCAATGCCCACATACACGGTCTAGATCTACATATGGGAATAAACATATTAATTTAAAATCAATAACTATATATTTATGGAATTTTTTTCCTTTTAATTAATATAAAACAAAACAAAAAAACACCCCACTGATTTAAGATTATAAGCACTAAAACTGAATTTCATCCTTAAGATAATTCCTGTCTCTCCCACATCACATTTGTGAGCAGCAAATATAAATAATGATTTCAAAAAAACTGCATTCAATAAAAAATTGAAAAAAATATTTGCATGCCATTGCTGAATAAATAGCAGCTTTGTATAAGCACTCACCTATAACAGTCTCTTACTCATCGGTAGCTATGCTATTTATGCAGGATTCTTAAAATGGCGTCTGACAGCACTGCACTGCCTCATTCCTGTACTGTAGCTAAAATGGTAGCAGTTTATTCAATAACAGTATCTCTTGTTTAAACAGCAGTGCTATATTCGAAGCAAGCATCTAAATATCAGAAATGGTAAAGTATGACAAAAGGACACCTGACATCCAAATGTTTAACTAAAAAGGCACAAGACAGGGAGTTTTGTGAAGTCACAGGTTACTAAGGAAATTGCTCAATTTTAGATTCACTCTCCGGTTTGAGTCTCTCATATTTTATGTTTCCTTTTGCAGAAGCCCCTGCAAAATGCTCATTTTGTATTACGCATTTAATACACACAAAACGCTTGTTCAGCTATACACATACAGCAAAGCTTAAGCTAGCCACCTCTGAAAAAATGCAAAGCAAAAAAAATTTTTTTTTTAATTTAAAAATTACTTAGCTGCTTTTTAATACCTCCCTCTTATTCGGTGTACATTTAAACTAGCTCCACAAAAAAGAAAATCAGGGAAGGGAGAGAGACCTTTGGTGACACACTGTCTTCTGTAGGCTATCAACTACAGAACTGAGGCCCAAGCAAGGCAATCACAATAGTTAAAGATTTCAAAACCAAACAACTCAATTTGAGAACAATCATATTTGAAAACAAAGGTTTATATTGGCTACATCAAGGATATTAACATCCTGTTACAACATGGCTTTAATCCCACAGTATGAAACCCAGATGTCATGACAACTGCCAATAACGGGTTAACTTCCGAATGCCAGACAATGTCTATCAAATAAATAAAATTCAGTTCCTATGCAGCTATTTCTAAGTTAGACCTTAACCCATGAATACAAGACAAATTTGTTAATAAATATAAAGAAACAAAGTTCTAAACCCAGTTTAAAGGGCCAAGCTAGATGGCCTACTACAGTGGTTTTCAACATGTGGTTTGCAGACCCCTCAAAGTCCATAGACTACTTCTAATGGGTTTGCAAACAATAATTAAGTTATTCAAACCTACTCTAATTGGCTTAAATTCACTAGAATGGGATTCATATGCCCATGGGAAAAACGTTAGGGATCCACAAAGAACAAAAGTTGAAAACTACTCGCCTAGTGAACAATACTACATTCTATCTGGGCAAAGGTTTATGTTCAACCTTTAAGATATTTAAGGGATTCAAATTAATACGCTGAATTCCAGACTGGGAGGAGGGGATCTTTTACTGAGATTTATCACCCCTTAGCCAATTACATTGCAGTTGCACTATTACCATGGAAAACTGACCATGACCTATTACTTTTCAGCTATTGGATCCACATGGCCAATACACCGGAAAACAAAGCAAACCCCCCCCCCAAAAAAAAACAAAATAAAAAACCCCAAAATAACTTAAGCAAAACTGATAGCCCACAATGGGAGAAGGCTCAGGAAGAAGAGCCAAATGAAGTTTGTGGACGCTAATACAGAGAGATAAATCTAAATACCAATTTCTGGTTTTTGAACATGAAGTCCCTTTCCGTATACGCCTCTTTAGCTTCAATTTAGGTTTTTGTCCACATTTCAGTATTCCTGCCTGACTGGGGGGGGGAGGGGGGGTGCGGGGTGGAGAGAAGTGTCACATTTGGAGTGGTTTCTACTCTGCACTTTTTTCATTCTCAGTATGTTAAGTAGTGTCATTTGCTCAAAAAGTCACTCAGTTTTTCCCTAGCACTATTTAGCTTCCAACTAAAACAGTTTGTCTGCAAAGAATGAAAAGAGCTATGTAGCTTTTAAAAAGCTACTGTTTTCATTGTAATTTATAATCCAGATCACTCCTTTGTTTTTCCCCCCTACATTCTCTGTCCAGCTAATTACAAAAGTAACTGGATGTTGGCAGTAAATAATAATGGCTAATCATATTCATCCTGGGCAATCCAAATTCCTCTTTAGTAGCCAGAAAATTTAAAGTCCAATTACACGATTAACTCCTAGTTACATTAGAATAACGGCCACTTACTATAAGCTGAATAAACCTGAGCTACATTGCTTCATACAGGTTCTGTTTAACTGTGATAATAACAAGATCCAGTCCTGTAAAATCTTGGGTAGAAAGAATACGTGCTCTCTTTCTTCCCCTGTGTCTATCGCTTAAACAAAACCCCACATTCCATCTGTCCTGAACAGCAGAAAAACAGCACAGAGTGCGTCTTATTATGCAATCTATGAAAGTCAGTGATAACATCATACCTTGACAAAGCACCAAAAATATATGAAATTCTTCAGCTTGGCTGAATTTGCTTTACTTAGATGGAACAAAGATGGTAGAAATTTCCAGAAGGCCTTTCTCAGTCTTGCCACTGCAATTGTCAATCTTTAACCTACCCTCTGCTTCTATTGGCTCAAGCACTCCATGGAGCAGCGCGATTGGGCTGATCTGTAAAACAACACTGCTGTCTCTACCTTGCCTCAGACATCTTGCTGCAATGCAGACATTTATTTTTTTGTGAACTATAAAAGAATTGTATTTGAGTGATTAAAAATAGTGAACTTTAACAGACCCACGATGCTACGTTTCATTACATGCACAAGGACAGCTTATACAAATATGCTTCACTGTCAGCAACGAGTCTAGAAGTGCAGATTTGAAACAGATCCTATTTTAACAAAACCTGTGGGAGCCATTTTAATACAAGCTTTTTGATTGCAGATCACTTACTCCTGCTTCCTCATATTAAACAAATATAATGTTGTGCAATATTTAAGACTCGAAGCAAACTGCTAGTGTGTATGAACTACTGCTATGAAAATTATGTCCAAATGTAAACTGTTTTTAGCAACCGAAGAACAAAAAATAGAATAACTTCTTAGCTGTGTCAGCAGCTTTCTCTATGCCGAAAAATGCAATAAAGGTGCATACAAATCTACTCTCACATGTAACTCAGTGGTACAATCCAGCAGTGTTTTAGGTTGCAAACTGAACAAGACATTCTTATCTAATCCTTTGGGGTGGGGGGGAAGTCTATTAAGGTGATGACATCTGACATGATGCACAAGGACAGAGGAAAGCTAGGTTACAGAATGTTATCAAACACATGACAACCTTCTATAAAAGTCAGCAAGTAACAGTGCCTAGTAACCATCATTTGCAAAGCCACCTTAGACCAAAGTTCTTCCTTAAATCAGGAATGTGTGTGGACTACTAAAAACTACGCAAAAATTAAATTAAAAGAACCAAAGAGCATCCCTGCTTTGCTTTCATAACTGTATTGGTGTTCAGTGAAAAGCAGATTGTTAAAACAAGCATGCAAGTGTTACAATTAAAATGTCAATAAAGGGCACAAAATGTTTAAAATTAGCTATAAATCAAGCAAGTTTATCTGAGATTATACTTCATTTACTATCAAAAACATATGCTCACTAAGTATTATTTACTTAACTGTTTAAGGTCATTTCATTGCTGAGTACTAGCACTTTCATCACACCTCAAAAGCCTAAGGAACGACCAAACTGCACTCTACCCAATAAGCATGGTAATTAAGGATCTATGCATAAAGAGCAAGTAGAATATTTTTCACTGGCCTTAGGTAAACAGGAAGTATAAGCTTCAAACTTTAGAAGCAAATTATCAAAAAAACAGTGCATTCAAATTAGAACAGTTTACATGAACAAGTCCCTTACAGTGGAAGCTAAACAAATCTCCTAAATTTTTATATGACTAACCACTAGCATTACTTCACCTACTGGACTAACTGACCCACAAAAAACAAAATGTTTGGAAAACTATTAAAAACGTTCAGAGTAGCAGCATGCTGCTTACTTACCAACTGTTCAAGCACCCATCTCATTTTTCCAGTTAAGAAGATACAACAGGCTGGCAGATTTGGGAATTGATCAAAAAGGAATTCTTTGAAATAATTACGCAGCGTTAAACCAAAAGTTAAAAACAAGGCAAAAAACAAGAACGAACAACATGTACTACTGTCATGAACCACATATGATTTTATATCCTCTGGGCTCCACAACACAGAACTGTGGCTGATACAGTGTAAAACAAAAAGGCACAGATAAAAGGTACATTAGTTTATTTGGACTACGTAAGAGAAGAAAGCTAACAGTTCAAAAACATTTTCCATAAAGAATCAGATTTGTAAACAGATGTATTGCTGCATTTAATTGAGCAGCAACCTATTTCCAAAATCTGCAGTATAAAAACTCCCTTTCAAAGGAACAAAATATTAACCATACATTGTCCCTCAGAAAGAGAAATACGTTGTATTAATTATTCCTGCAAGAAAAAAAGTTCAACAATCATTTTAAGTTAAGATAAGCTGCATAAAAAACATGATGCAACAGCACACAACCACCTAGGCCCAATATCTACAATCTGCCATTAGCACTTTTTGCTGATGTCTAGGTTTTTAAAAATCCCATATTTTCTCAGAGATAACTTATCTTAGCTATTCCATTCACTGTTTAGAAAGGTAAACTTGCCTGTTCTTCTGTCTGCCATTATCCCTGCTTGACTCCCTGTAGGGCAGTTAAATGCATCTGCTCCCTAGCTTCCATTTTCTCTTCAGCAGGCATGTGACACAACAGACAATAGTGCTGGCAAACTGCTCAGAGAGAGAAAGCTTCTTTGGAATACCAGGATCTTGATAAACTCTAAAAACACCATCCTCCTGTGAAGAAGTAGGTATGCCAAGGCTTTGCCAGTCTGCAAAATAAAGCTGTGGCTAATGGCTACTAACCATGTGACCCAAGAAAGCAAATTTAAACAGTTTCAACTTAATAAAGTGCTGTGGTGTGAGTTTTGCACAACAAATCACAGAGAATCACACTCTCAACCCACAACTCATAGGTCTTAGAGAAAAAAAAATGTAAAAAGTAAGGCTTACCTCTGTGGATGCATTGTTAACACAGTGTTATGTCAATACTTATAAAACATGGAGGACAGGCTCTCAGTACTCAGACAGAAAGGGCTTGGCACTTCAGCTTGATGATCTGTCTTCCCAATAAAAGCTAATCCTGGATTGGCTACTTTGGTAAATCCGAATGTAAAGCTTCAGGGGATTGGCTGAAACACTTCCTGAGCGATTATCTTTGTGCAGCTCTGGCAAGCAGGAGCCATCCTGTGCATAGAGAAGACAGGCTAAGCTAGGCCCGTTTAACCCCAAATGCGGGCTCCCCATAGAAAATACATAGATTTTCGAGCAGAGGGAAGTGATCACAAACTGCCTGCCTGAGCAAACGTGTTTCAGCATGTCATTGCTGAAGGCATCTGGATATTTTAAACCTGCAGGAGGGAGAGTTCGCACAGGTCACAAAAGCTATTCGTTCTAAACGAAAAGCTAAAATCACTTTGCTGCTACTTTGCAGAGTGTCTCACAGAGAAAGCCAGACTTTGCAAAGAGAAGAAAACACTGAAACTGAACAGGCAAAGCATGGATCAAAATTAAATAGTGGAAATTCAGATATAATGTTCATATTCCAGAATTTAAATATATTAATACCTATTGTAGCAACCATATACCAACAATGTAATTTCTTTAGACACTGTGGTAAGCAGAATCTTAAATAACAACAAATTATTGTCTGATTTCTACCAAAAACCATTATACAATTTCAATTGCATCATCAAATAGAGTGCTGCCATTCAACACATGCCTTCCCTGTTTATAAAAATGCTGCAGAGGATAACCAAAAATATCAGTATTGCACCAGGTACTGTACTCTCAAATTCCCACCCCCCTCCCCCCGGCCCCCACCTTTCAGCCTGCTAAGGCTGTCAGTTAAACAAAAATCTGACTTCCGTATTAGTCGGCTGCAGCTGCAGCTTCCTGTCTATTAACCCTGTAGGACTTGGTACTTTTTAAGACATGGGCCCTAAAAAGAAATAGATTTCTCCATATGGTATGGCATCAGTTTTCACATAAACATTAGTACAGATCTTCAGATTTTTTGCTTTAGCTTTCATCTTCTACTAAAATTCTGCAAGTGAAACAAAATGAGAAAATGGCATATAATCTTGAATTAGAATACAATGCATACGAACAACCAGTTTGATCTTGAGCCAATTCCCAAGCATTTTATTCAAAAATGCTTTCATTTCTTTCCTCAGAACCCTGTGATTCAGTTTGTTTTCCTAACGCAGTGAAAGTGGGCGGATTTATCACTATGCCAAGAAGGAAGAAAGACATAACTCCAGACAGAGATTTTAAAGGCCAAATTTTGACAAAGGCCCCAACCAGCCTTCACGTTTGTATTCAAAATTCTGCATCTGTATTAGGTAGTTAGGTATTATCATTCTACAGCCATCAACAAATTACAATGAAAGCTGCAGATGAAAAGGCTGATTCTGAAGCATATTGCCTTTTATCAAAGAATTACTTATGCAAGAAAGGAAAATATTAAATCTTTCTCTCTGCAACTCCATTTGTTTAAAACAATAATTAGCAAATAACAAGCTAAAATAACCAAAGCAAAATAAACATTCTTTCACTACTAAAATGATTTGATGCAGAGTCTAGGGTAGTGCAAAAGCAGTCATAGAAAATCATCTCTCACAAATCAAGGCCAGTCACCATCAAAATATGCACTTCACTCTAACTCACCTGAGTGCTAATGACCCCCTAAAACAATCACCACGAATAAAACTAATACCCTCCTTTAGCTCCCAAGAGCATCTTTCAGGGTATAACTATTTTAACATACAAACCTCTTTGCTGAGAGCCGGCATGACTCATACCTGTGCAACTCAATAAAATTAGTAATCCCACTCTGCATTGTCGCATACTGAATTCAGACTATTTCTGAGATAGCAGTCATTGTCTCAGGGAAACTGCCGAACCATCCTATCACTGTGCTTACTTTTTTTGTGTACTTGTGTTCTAGTCTGCACCAGTGGATTAAGAGCCAGAGTCTCTTAATGTTCATCTCTTAAGTAATTCTGGAGTCCCTGCTGGAAGCATTTTCCCTTTTTAGCTTTGACACCATTTTTCAGGGCAGAGAGCAGGAAGGCTCATGGACTACACTGGCAGTTTGTTCTGTTTTAGGAATGTAACAGAAACAGTGCTGCTATAAAGGGAATCGTACAGCCCTCTACAGCAGCAAGAACACACTGGAAGTGCATGACGTTAAAGTGAACACTTGCAGCAGTTTTAACAGTTCACACAATTCAAGATAGTTTTCTTTTTTACCGTATACCTAAAACCCTCTGCCACTCAGAAACAGCACCCCCCCCAAAGCAAAAATATCCAAATTTTGATTTGTCCATGCAGTAAATGTAAGTAAGAGAGGACTATCACCCATTAACATTTACTATCATTAATTGACTGCTCTGCTCTAATATTATTCTATTCAAAAAACTAAAATCCTAATCCCTATGAAGCACAGCAAGGGAGTAAAACTAAACACACAGCATTTGTCAATGCTTTGTGCTAACCAAGACCTGACTCTGGGAATGCAGTAATGCTGATGGTGACTGGGAACTCTGCCAAACTGACACACTTGGACCTAAGGGAAAGAATTGGCCTGCAGCAGACAGAGGCAGAAGCAGCAGAAAAGGCCTAAGGTCCTACCCTCTTGATTCAAGAAAATGGAGGCCTAAACACAAAACAAAAGTTTATAAACCTTCAGTCATTAGCTAGCAGAACAGGGACAAAAACCTAGAAAGCCTCTCAGATAGAATACAGCGTTTTTATTCATCTACTAGGTTACTCTGCTAAGATACATAAAAGAATTCTATCTGCTCCTTCAGAAACAAATCAGAGAGAGAAAGCTTGACCTATGTTTCTCTTTATTTTCTTGCCCATACACATAATTTAAATAGGAGGTACAAATCCAGTAAAACGATATACAGGTACTTCTGGAAAAACTCAGTAGATTCTGTCTGTTAAGCCATAACTAATGCATTCCCTACTGCAGCTTGAGCAATTCTTTTACATAGGAGGGGTGCATTTTTTCGAGGGGGAAGGGAAAGAAAGGAAAAGAAAACAAAGGAGAGAGAGGGGGGAAACTAAAAAGCTTTGTTAAAGCAGAAGAGAGGGAGGAGAGATTAGATTAGCTAGTATTTGTCCTTTTCAATGCTTTGGAGATGTTAAGAGACAACAGGGGATTAAAGCAGAAAAAAAGAAAGAAAACAAGGGAAAGACGGAAAGCAAGAATATAGTCACAAGGAAATTAAAAGACAACAGTGTTACAAGTGCAACCTACTATATTTAGGGTCCTTTGCAAAGACCTGTGCAAAATCTCCAGAAGGTGCACTCCTCAAGCATCACTGCCAAAAGATAGGCAGAAAACAATGTTGTAAGGGACTATACTACTTAATATACACTGAAAAGCCCTCAAATTAAAGTAAATAAACACCAGTAAAGAACAGACTTGCCTGCGTGATAGAAGCAGGCAGTTTGGATATATGGCCTATAAAGGAATCCACCGAAAACAGTGCCCGGGGGGGGTAAAGATGGACAACAGATCAAACTTTCAATGGTAACATTTTGAACAGATATACAAAAGGAAAGGGGGAAAGTCATATTCCCGAAGGATAACCAGAAAACGGGGAAAAAAGTTGCACTAAGGACTTGTAGCTCGGTCCCAGGTTTCCAAGTCACCGTATGAGAATCCTAATTTCTAGAATGATTCATGTTCCTAATCTAATTCAGTATCTTTCCTTTAGGGAGTTTCCCAAAAACTTCCCCCTTAAGTCTCAATCTGCTAAGGTATCATTAACTGCTTAAACTCCACAGGATACGACTACCCCCTCATACAGAACCCAACAATAACTATCTAGAAAATAGTTCCTGAATGTTTAGAATTATGCTGCATGCTGAACTTACTGACCTGCCTAAGAAGATTGGTAATTCTGTAAATTATCAAATACTCTACTGGAGGGTGTGTTTATGTCACATTAACTGATTTGCCCTTAAGCTTAAAGGGCTTTGTGGCCAGATGCATGCACGCATTTGTCCTGGTGAACAATACCTTTGAATACTTTTGGTTTAGTTTATTTGTTCTGACTCACACTGATCACTCACTGTCTGCAGACTGAAAAGCTGTTTTTGTTTATAATACACACTGAATATCTGGTACGTTATGAAAGTTTCTCTTGACAATCATTTTTAGTACACTGTGTAACATATCTCATGTACATTGCCTTCCATGTTCAAACATCTGCCAAAAATACCTCATAAAACCGAAAGCCCCCTTGAGCCCTTTGCTTTAGCAGCTGTAGCTCTTTTAAAAGAGATGCTGCAGCCAATCTCATCTTAAGGCACAAGCCCACGTTTTTCAGCCTTTTCACCTCTGAAATGGTCTCTCCAAGATTTAACAGCCAGGAGCAGGGCTGTCACATATCCTATGCAAAACAGAATTTTCATTATTATATATTTAAATTATATGTTCTACACGAAAAATCTAATCATCTCACAATATTATAATCATCCCATATTTCATCTGCAGCCAAATACTTTTTCAGATACCTGGAAAGCAGCTGTGAGACATCTGCAGATAGACTGCATGTCAAACCTAAAGCATATTCACCATGCAGTCGAATTGCACCTGCCATAGCAAGTGGAATTATCATGCATTCTCTGTGATAACATGGTAACGAGTCCAACCCACTCACTGCACAGGCAAGCTTTGTGGGTATGGGGATATATAAATCCTGCATAAGACTACATACAAAATCCTAAAGGTAGTTTGCATTTCAGCAAGTGACTCCAATGCCCAAGTGCAAGATATCCTGCATTCAAGCACTTATTCTGACATTGTATTCTTCCCAAGAAGATAGAAGACAGACTCTACTGTTAGAGAAGAATTATCTAGGACTGGCTATGAATAATGCTAAACCCTAGTCCCATTGCTATGATTTTTCTCTTCTCATTTTTCTCCCATTCAGGAATCACTTGGTTAACATTTGCAATAGTAAGACTGATTTTTTTCTTCATTCAGAACATACAAGAACCTTTTTTTTTTTTTTTAAACCAAAACTGATTATCTTACCAGAGGGCTCCATCAGCTAAAGCTCATGTAAAATATTTAAAGTGATGGAATTACAAAAATACTGCTACTGCAGTACTTTTCCTCTCTTTCAGACTGAGAACTCTTCGCAACCCACCATTGCACATCTAGA